AATGCGGTATCTCTGCATTTTGTAAAAGCCAGAAAGAAGCATAAACTGTATAAAAAAATGAAAGGGAGAGGTATACATGCCTTCTATAATTTTGACTTATATGTATATTTGGCAAGTCTTTGTGTAAAAAACAAAAAATACACATTTTCATTTTTTTGCCAGCTTGGAAAATATACTGAAATGTGATATAAAGCTCATTAAAATGTTCTATAGTCTTGTTTTTAAGTTTGTTATCATAGCGCTTTGTATTTTGATTGCCCACTATACGTGAGTTGCTTCTATTCAAAAAGTTCTAGTACAAAGAATTTCTTTGTTTTGAATTTGTTTGTTTATTGTTTTTAATTTTTAGTTTTTTGTTTTTGGCCGTTTTATTATAATTTATTCGTTAACGAATAAGTTTTTAATTTTTAAAATTCATACTTTTGACGTGTATGTGAATGGCGGAGTTCCCACTTTCCACCTTTTCGGTTGGTTTTTATATTAAAAAGGCATCAAAATGGGAAAAACCCTCCTTGGTATCTCTGCATCTGTTAAACTTTTTATGGGAAGATGTATGAAAANACGTGAGTGGCTTCTATTAAAAAAGTTCTAGTACAAAGAATTTCTTTGTTTTGAATTTGTTTGTTTATTGTTTTTAATTTTTAAAATTCATACTTTTGACGTGTATGTGAATGGCGGAGTTCCCACTTTCCACCTTTTCGGTTGGTTTTTATATTAAAAAGGCATCAAAATGGGAAAAACCCTCCTTGGTATCTCTGCATCTGTTAAACTTTTTATGGGAAGATGTATGAAAATCCAACTTGCTATAATTTCATATGCTTAACAGTATCACAACAGTATGTTTACAGTATCTCCCAATAATTTTTCATATGAAAAAATGTATTATATGCATCCCACTCGATATCATTGAATTCCTCATTGGAACATGTAGTCCCTCTATTTTAGCGTATCAACAGTGCATATGGCTTCATATCATGTAAATGCACCATGATACAATAATTTTTAGAAGAGAGTGTCACTTCAACATTTCTGACATAAACCGTGTCTGTTAACAAACACGCACTGTCACGATATTGAACTAGGGGATTTTCACTTATTATATTAGGTATATTTAACTGAGCAATGCACGACCGTACCGCACAATCATATCTGCGATTGAAAAATGAACGGAACACATATTCTCCATCCACTTGTTTCGTAAACACGGCAGAGCAGAAAGTTTAAAATGTTTCATAGCCGCATCCTTTTGAGCTATTCCACGTGTTGCAATCTCTATGGAAGCAGCAGCTAATTTTTTCATTACGTTTTTTATGATTCAAATATCAAAGGCAAACAAAAGCTTTTGGGGAGCTTTTGCTTCGTGATCTTGTTTAAATGCGCCATTTAGGAAATGCGAATTTGTATGGAGAAATGCTTGATTTGGCTTCGCACACAAATGCAATGAATTTCATCAAAACGCCGAGCCCTTCTGTCATTCACAATAAAGAAATAAAACGCCAAAATTATCCGCTTGAAGTAATACATAATGGGCAAATCTCCGTAATCGTGCGAATCAACGCCGAAAAATCGCAAATTTTTAAATTGAGCGCACAAAAATAAATTATACATCAAATTGTTTGAAAATTTATTTGAGGAAACATTAAATTATTGTGTGATTCATTTTTCTCAAATCCTTAAAGAGTTATAAGTAAACACGATAATTTTTGAAAACTCAATGTTAGCGATGTTCTAGAGGGCGTGCTTTTTGCACGAGTTCAAAAATTTTCGAGACAGTATTTAAGAAGTTCAGGCGCAATGTGTATATCAAGTCAAGTCGTTTTCGAGATACAAATATCATACACAGATACAAACATCACAACTGAAATAGAAAAAGTCGTGACTAACAATTTCTATTTTTTTCATTAAATGATGTGGGAGTTGTAGTTCGATGAAATCCTTCATATAAATCAAAAACTGAATTTTGAATTTTTTATTAGTTAGGACTTTTTGAATTTCAGCGACGACGCTTTATTTTTTTTTTTTTGTTTTTTGTTATTTTAGACAAAATTTTTTTTTTGTATTTAGCATTTTCAACGACCTTTATGAAAAATGTTATCTAATGATGACGCTTAAAGCCAACGTCTTTTAGTCTGTCAGTGTGCTATCAATCGTGCCCCCCTATTATGAATTTCGTCGTCTCAGAAAACGGATGTCGAATGTTACAAAACACGGTTTTGAGAAAATTGACTTTGAAGTTTAAGGTCGAATTAATTGTAACTTTTGAAGGAGACGTAGTTGGTGTTATTACTTTTGATTTCCCATATTTTTACATTTAATATCTCTTAACGTTAATGAGAAAATTTACTTTTCATTCCGTATACATTTGTCGTAAGTAGCGTTTACTCACCACTTTGTTTTGTCCACAGAACATACGACAATAGTAAAGTATCTATTTCAACGACGATGGTATAATTTGATGAAAAAAACAGACATATTTATTAAATAATGATTACTTATTAGAAAAAACATAACAAAAACATAATCATGTATTTAATAAAAAAAATCTGTACATCTCTTATGCTGTAAATATGTTACGAACATACGTTTTCTTTATATAAAAACAAAAAACAATACTTAAATTCAGTCTTTTGTACATTTTTATCTCTTTCATTTCATTGGAGACTCAGTGCAAGCTAAAATTTAAAAATTTAAAATTTTAAAATTAGTTACTTAGTTTAATTTTCAATTTTAATTGTATCGTTATAGTAGCGGACCATCCAATTGTCGTAAGTTCAAAGTTTTGCGATACATACGACAAATGTTTTATGATTAAAAAAGGATTACATTTGTATGGGAATTTGTCGTATGTGCCACATACGACAAACGTTTTATGATTAAAAAAAAGGTACGTTTGTATGGGAATTTGTCGTATGTGACGCATTTTCAGCACATACAACAAAAGGCATACCCAATCATTAATATTATGTAACATACGACAAAATGCGCACGAAATATCTCAAAAACTAATGGAGATATAAAAAACTGGATTGCAGAAATCGAAAGAGCATGTCCAACTTAGTAAATCTGCATCAAAATCCCAAAATCGTGATTTTGCACATTCGTCATCCGTTTTCTGAGGCGACGATTTGTACGATGCACAATAAACGCTTGCATTCTGTTATTCTCTATTACGAGTCGATGTTTTCGTATGAAATCCGATAGTTAGCGTAGCTGATTTGCATGATACAAATATTTAAAGGTAAAACCAAGGCATATTTAACAAGGTAGAAGTGACAACTAGCTCGAACTCTCTTGTAGCTAGTTATAATGTCAAAAAACTGTAAACATACAAATTAACCCTATGAGTTGCGAGTGCTATGTTTGCTACAAATTAGCATCAATTGAAACTCATCATGGTGAAATTATACCAGGTGTAGTAATAAGACCGAGATGAAAGATTTGACGCTATCTTATTTGAAAATTTGCCTTTAACAATTTTTATAAGATAGCCGAATATCAGGAAAATAAAGCGAGAAAGCTTTTTCATTACTTCACCTGTTTATAATTTCGCCATGCAAATACATACATATGTACTAATTTTAAGAATTACTTCAATATTACCTTCAAATAATTCGCATCTTATATGCACATATACGTACATACATATGGGCAGTAAAGAATACCTCATAAAGGAAACCACGTAATTAAATGAAAGAGATGTTTTATGAAACTGTTTTAAACATTTTTTTGTTTCTATTCGCCCAATGTTTTTGCGCGTTTAGTTTCTTATTTAAATATTTACTTCTAAAAACATCCGCACTTATAAAAAAAAGATTTAATATTTTCTTCTACATACGTATGTATGTATATCAGTGTAAATCTAGGTCCTGACGTGGTTATGTGTGCATAATTTTGTAAGAAACTACTCTTACTCCGTTCTGAACTTTCGTGTGCTTCAGACATTTCAGGCACAGGAACCTCCCAGGGCATGGAAACAGTACCTGGGTATAAACGCATGCGCTTGAAAATATTTGCCTGCAATGGGCCAGTAATAAAACCGCGTTGAAATGGTTTTCACATACACGGGAAGAATCTTCCAACTGAACACCGTAGCTGTTCTCCCAACGAGGTCTTCTAATTTCGCAACTAGGCGCCTTAAAGTATCGCACCACTTTAACGCCTTGGATCTTGCCACACATAGCGCAACGCTCGTAGTTCCGCTCCTTTTCATTTTGGTATATGTATGTATCTATAAATATAAGTGGTCGAAAAAAAAAAATTCACACAATTGAAAACTATATCAAAGCACGCAATTGAATTTTTAAAGAAAATTAGATAATGCCAACTTGAAAAAGGTTAAAAGTTATTCATCATTTGACATTATAGTCGGTGTTCAAAAGAGAGAAATGTCAAAATCACTTCTACCTTGTTTAATACACCTTGGGTAAAACCGCTCGCTCAATTCGTCTGCCATTGGGGTTTTTTTTTGACGTTTGCTAGCATTTTGAGTTTTCTCTCTCGAAATGCTTCTAATGTCAAAGAAATTCAAAATAAACAAATGTAAATTTATGATTTGAAATATTTATTTATTCAGAAGTTGGAAAAACTAAAAAATTTCCAAACGAAAAATGAGTTGCTGCTTTAACGGCTGCGTAAATACCGTTGTCCACTGCAAGCAGAACAGTATCAAGTTTTTTAAAATATTAGTTATACGTAATATAGAAAATTGCATAGAAGTTCATTGAACACAATTGCTTACATTTGTTTATTTATTTACATACAAATGTATATATGTATGTATGTATGTGCATTTTGTTGTTTCGTCAAAATATATTTATTTGGTTTGAGTGAAAATAAAAACAAACAAATGAAATGACGGCGAGAGAAATTTTCAAAATGCTAGCAAACGTCAAAATTCCTAAAGCTGGCTCTCAGCGATTGTACCTTATAAATATTTGTATCATGCTGATTTGTGCTGGTTCTCAATAAAAAAGTGATCAAAAACCACAGCCATTCACAACAATACATCTGTCGGGAGCATGATTCAATAATTCAAGGTTATGTAATTTGTGACAGCTGAAATTTGACACTCCTTTATCTAGATTTGTATTTTGGAAATAGGAGAAAGGGGAAGAATGTGAACACCTTTTGCGAAAACGGTAGTAGAAAGGTACTAAAAAAGTACGCAAAGTATACAATTAGAAGTAAAATGTGTATTATTAATTCTATGTGAATTTTCAATACATTTGGAGTTTTAATGGAAATACTAAACAATACGTGAAATTTATAATTGTCATTTCCTGAACAAATATAGAATATCGACCTTTCAGCTTAGCAAAAACGAAAAATGCAGATCAGTAGAACTTTTTACGCTCATTTCAACCATACTGATTTCAACGGTACCAAATTTATTAGGCGCGAGTAAAAAATAAAGACGTACTAGAAGGTTAAATTTAAATATTTTGATATTTTAAATATTAATATCGTATGAACTACATAACCGATTAAAATAATGATGACGTCGCCATATATTATATTTATATGCTTTTATTATATTTTCAAACCAAAACCACTAAAAAGGAACAAATGTAATTTTTTCATGAAATAACTTTTTTGAAAATAAACTGCATAATGAATGGCAAAGAAATTTATTCTATTTAGAAGTATCAGTTATTATCTTTAATTTGATATGCATATTTTATCATAATCTACTTTTGGGTCTTAAGAATTTAGTGATAATAAAAAATATAAACAAACAAAGCAAATAAACCTCTTATATCTTCTTTATTTTTTAACTGCGCCAAATAAATTTGGTATAGTTGAAATCAGCGTAAAAAGTTGTATCAAGCGGCGATTTTGATTATTTTATTGTTAAATGGTCGCTATTCTAGACTTGTTCCAGAAAATTACGCAAACGAAGGTGATGCCAACAAATATTTAGTATGAAGAATTTTTGGTTTTACTACTCATATAACTAGAAACTGTAGAGTGAGCAACATTGTGCACAAGTAAAGGAGCCGATTTTATGTGTGGGAGCGAGAAGACTGTTTTATTACCAAACCTTTATATTATTGAATCATGTGTCGGGAGTGTGAAAACGATAATACGAGAACTGATTTCATACGATACGCTTGCAAGCGTTTATAGTCTATCGTACGAAAATTCATAATAGGGGGGTTATACACTCTAAAAAGTGCATGTAAAACTACTGCTAAAAAGTGTTTATTTTTCAACTCAAATCTGTGTAAATAAGATGTTCATGACATGATTTTTGAACATGAGAAGTTTAAAATATGCACATAAATTCAAACATGAAATGTTTAAAATTGCAAACATTTGAACGTAAAAATACATTTTTTACTAATAAAAAACATTAATTGCTCATATATAATCAATTTAAACATTTTATGTGTAATTTTGCTCAACGGGACAAATTTGGAATGTAAAAGTAAACAGGAAGTGTTTAATTATATTAAGACGGTGTGTAAATTTGCACAAATTAAGAGAGGAAACTGGTTACCTCTCTTTATATGCGTAACTTTAAACACAATTTTTTAGAGCAAATTTTAAACATTGCATGTGTAAACTGTTTAATTGTGAGCACTAAGTGCTTAGAACTCAACAAAAAAAATTGAGATCTGTTCTACGCCACACATATGGTATGTAAAAGTAAACAAGGAGTGTTTAATTTAATTAGCACGGTGTGTAAATTTGCATACATTACGAGAGGAAACTGGTTACCTCTCTTAATATGCGTTAATTTAAACAAAATAGTTTTAGGGTGTAGAGTGTGGTTTTCGTAAGTCGAGAGCGAACTATACTTCTGAACTGCCTACTCGGTCCAAAGTAGCACTCGTTGCTTGTTGCTGCGTAGGATTTCGATGCTGACATTATCGGTGTTAATGCTGGTTTATAAGTAAACTGCTGGTTTCTCGAAATTATAACTGTCAAAAGTGACGTGGGTAAGGCGCGAATGCGCTGACTGCTTGTTTGATGACAGGAGATACTTCGACTTGTTGTCGTTTACCACCAGATCCATTCGCTTTGCCTCGTTATCCAACTTGGAAGCCAGAACATACTTCGCGGATTTTGTTACCGATGATGTCGATGTCATTGCCATACGTTAGAAATTGCACTCTCTTGTGACAAATTGTTCCTGAGCGGTTCAGCTCTGCAGCTCTTACTATCTTCTCCAGCATCAGATTAAAGAAATCAGTAGAGAGTGAGCCGCCCTATCTGAAACCCCGTTTGGTAGCAACGTCATTTCACACAAACGTATACGTTTCGCGAGATTATGAGATTCAGGCAACTTTTCTTCGTGCTGTAGAAAGCGGATTTGAAGTCGGCAAACATGTGTGTGAGTGTCGATCCTTTCCGAACGGTTTTTTCCAAAATTTGGCTTATGGTGAATACCGGGCCTACGGAATATTTACCAGCCCTGCAGCCAGACCGATAGAGCCTAATCAGTTCTGTAGCTTCATCCACTGCGTCCTACTAGTCCCCGGCGACCACACAGGCGCTGCAGAGTTCAGAACTGGCCGGCTAATTGCCTTGTACGTTGCCAACAAAGTTTCTTTGTCTTTGCCTCAGTTGCTGCCGGCTAGCTACTTCAGCAACTTGTTGCGGCTTTGCACTCTCTTGACAATTGCGGTTGTATGCGCCGAGAAGGAGAGCAGACTGTCGAAGGTTGCTCCGAGGATTTTCGGGTTATTCACCGTCGGAATTGGTTCGTCATTGACGTGAATACCCAGCTGCAGTCTGAGCACCTTCGTGCAGGTGATAAAAAGGGTTGCCGAGGGTTTTGTAGGGGAGAGGGTTAAGATCCTTGCAGTGAAGAAGCGAAAAAGCTTGGAGAGATAACCGTTTACTTTCGAGCATAAGTCATCATCCTGTGGGACCCCCTGTTTAATTCTTCTCGGATTGCTGGTTAGTCTCTAAAAGTGACTGACGAATGTCGACCACTCAGATAATTCGCCGACCATCGTTTAGAGTCCCTGTGGGAGAGAGGAAGCCTCATGTCTTCTAATAGCGTGGAGTGACTGATAGTGTCACACGCCTTTCAGGATATATTTAGTAACGTGACATCAGTCAAGTGCAACACCTGCGTTGGCTGCTGTCGCTTTAGGGCATGTTCAGGTCTACGCAACACGCGAGATTGGACGAGCGACTTCGAGGGCCCGTGCTGCGCTGCTCGATCGCAAGTCGCAAGTCCCAAGCACGACGCCGCCCACTACCACCACAGGGCGGCACCTTCCGCAGAGCTCCATCTGCCTCGGGAGACCAGAACAACAATAGCCCAACTTCGCTCTGGCTACTGCAGCAGGCTAAACCCCTATCTGAGTAGGCTAAATGCGGATGTGCCGAACGAATATCCGGCATGCGGAGAGACCCCTCACGACTCGAAACATCTCTTCGCATGCCCGGAATACACAACCCTAACGGCGCCGTCCCTGTGGACCGACCCCATAGAGGCTGCACGCGTCTTGGGGCTGCCGTTAGTGGAACTCGACGACAACGACTGAGATATCTCAGCCGATCTGGGCGGGGTTGTTGTAGCCGCTACAACAACAACAACAACAACCTTCCACATAACAAAAAATCTCCCTAGACACACGAAGCTCTTACAATTTAACTGTAAACGGACAACAGAGTAAGATCGAGGAGATAACCGTCTTTATGGGCGGCATGGAATATTAAAGGCTGCGGCTCAAGAGACGAGGTTGTACCGCGCAGTATGGTCTCATCGAAGCAGACATCAACCCCAGGGATTACAATGTCAGGGTATTGCTATCCGGCAGACGATGTCGAGCTCGCAATATTTAACGTTTATATACCCCTGACACCAGCTGCCCGGCAGGATATCCCCCTGAAATAGATGCGCTCCTCAGATAGCCGATTCGAGCAGATAGACGATTCGCCAGCTCGCCAGACATAACAAGTATAAGCCCTGGTCTGATAAGCGACTTCTGGACCGGACAGCATATTGACAGGCCTTGAGTGGCATTTACAGGGAATCGGTCTCAAGTTACGTAGGCTCCAGACCTGTGAATGCCGTTCTGGGCACACATTCACCTGATGTGGACGAGACAGAGCTTCGTATACCTTGGGAGACTCAGACCACAATAGCCCAACTTCGCTCTGGCTACTGCAACAGGTTGAACTCGTACCTGAGCAGACTGGATGCAGAGAAGCTCAATGAGTACCCCACGACCCGAAACACCTCTTCGCATGTCCACTAAAACCCACTCAACTAACGCCTCTGTCCCTATGGACGGACCCTATAAAGGCTGCGCGTTTCTTGGGTCTCCCGTTAGTTGAGCTTGACGACACCGATTGAGGGACTAGCCTATCTGGGCGAGGTTGTTGTAGCCGATACAACAACAACAACTATGAAATTTTTTACCCCCATTAATGCTTTGAAAACTGAAGTATTTAGATATGAAACTTAGCTTCTACTACCTGGCTCTGAATGCTACTAGATGAGCGTAGTAAGCTGGTGCTGGTATTGAAACGGACCGAGTACATCTCACATAGGTGTGACACAGTTGATATGTTAAACATTGGAGCTCATCAGAATCAAAGTGATTGTCATCCCATAAAACGTGGTAATGGGAAGGCCGGCTTGTACCCTATGTAGATAAATTAGATTAATAAACGTTAAACTGTAATGATTTGAAAAAGTTTACTTGTATTCCTTGATGACTGCAAAGGTAAAAGTCAAACTCGGTTGGATGAGTAATACCAACATCGACTGTGGTGCCAGCTGGTATGTTGCCAGATTTTCCGCTCTGTTCTTTTTTCTCAGCACAGAATAGACGAGTATGATGCCTTTTTTGTACAACAATGAATGTTATACCTGGTCGGTATTCTGCCTCCAGTTTTATGCATGCCTCACGTATAGCCGTGAGCTCATGTTGCAACACGTGCGGGAACTGGCCTTCTGAGACTCCGTCACGATATAAAATGATACGATGAGGCTTGTATCCACCAGTAGATTTGTAGAACATAATCAATAATTCACGGACCATGCTACTTAGCTCCTGTATAATTTCTTGACGGTGCTGTTGCACACGAACAGTGGCCGCATAGCGTGATGGGTGAGCATCCATGGATCCAACAACTGCTGCAATCGAAGGTTTTTTATTATCACCGGCTGGGGGATGAGTGACGTCTGCTCCTAGGAAAATAACGGGTTCGTTGAAGACCTTCGGACGGATTGAAGGTACCAATATGGAATTAATGCCACCTAACTTCACGTTAATTTTCAAACACAGATTTGACAAGGTTTGTGGGGATGTCTTATTAACATTTTTTGCCTGTACGCATTGTGTGGCCATACCCAACACGGTGTCACCAACACGCTTTACTTCAGCTAAAATCATTAAGAAAGCAAATCAGTTATTAAAATTAAGAATATCAGGAGGAGCAAGCTGTACTGATTTCAATTATCGATTCTACATACCATAAACAGGTGTTTTTCCAGGTAGCACAACGACGACCAATTGAAGGGCATTGAATGAATTCTTCAAGTATCTAAACATAGGCTCGACCTGATCTGGACCAGTCGCATATTTGCAAAAGCATGGTTGTCCAATAATGGGCATACCGGCATCGTTTGAAATCTTCTGCAGCTGCTGTGTAAAATTCCTCAAAGCATCTTCGCGCACAGTTCTTTGGGGTGCAAAACAAGCGATTGCCCATACCCGAATTTCCACTCCAGTAAAGAATTGCTTACCACGCATATCCCAGACACCTTGATTTGGGGAAGCCAAACTCACCTTATTTTGGGGTGGGAAAAGTTGCTATTTAAGAGAAAAAACAAAATAGATGATATTACTTACATACAAATGTATGTATATTTTTCTAATTCAATAATAGACGAAAACCTGTAAAAAAAATGCAGATTTTTCATACTAGATGTACTAGTCTACACATTACTTGACAATTTTTTATATTTTCATTAAGTAACCTGAAAAAATTCTATTTATTTTTCAACTTTCGCCAACGTTTATTGCAAAAACTTCAATCACCTTATATTAATTCGCCTTGACGTGTAGTGTTTCGGGATTTATATTTTACCTCATAATTTAATCGTTTTCATTCTATTCTATAATTTATCTTATATATATCGATTGGTCTAAGTTAACAGTTAATGTATAACTGGCTATTGCGTCCAGGTTCATTAAATCCTACAGACGAAGCAACGCGAGTAAAAAGATCACCAACTCACGATAGTAAATGAATAAGTGGTCCACGCTTTCTGCATAACGATTAAGAAGAAGATTGGCCAGATAACTCAACCATGCAGATGTCTGAAGACCGTAGCAGTGATGAGACACGGGCCACCTAATCAGCCTTCGCAAACCGGTTAATAGTATAGTAAGACAAATGAAAGATAGGTGGTAAGATAGTTCGAAAGACTTGTTATTCTAATAAAAAACCTTAGAAAAAACGCTTCTCATTCACCAGGGTTCAGATTTGTCTCATTTTAGCCCCTCGCTCCCTCGTTAGTTTGCTCTGAGCTTGCGCTGCTCACGAGCAACAGGCGAGGCTGTTTGCAAACGAGTACTCGTTAAGTACTAGCACGTGCGCCAGGGATGAAAAATTTAAATTTCAAATTGTACCTAATATCATAAAATAAATGTACCTAAATGAGACAGATTGTACCTAAAAAAAAGTTACATCACTCATTTGTAGTTTTTTTATAAATTTTATTTAAAACATGAATACAAAGGATGGATGTACTTTAAACATGATTCGGTTTTTTTTTTTAACTGAGCCTATATCCATAGATTATACTTGTAGTTTAATGGGAATCGGAGAAGCGTTGTTTTTGTCTAATTATGACTACTGAGAAATATTGCCGAAAAAGACAAAAAACACACTTTGCGAAGTATCTTTCTTTATCCAGCAACAACACGAAAAGTCTGCTAATTTATAATAATAATAATAGATGGGCGCTTACACATATGTTAGTGTTTGGCCGAGCTTTTCCTCCGATTTGTGGCGTGCGCCTTGATGTTGTCACACAAAGCGGAGGGACCTACAGTTTTACGCCGACTCCGAACGGCGATTATATTTTTATGAGAAGAGCAGAAATACACTCGGAGGTTTGCCATTGCCTGCCGAGGGACGACCGCTGTTAAGAAAAAACCTTTTTTCTATATTTTTGCGATATTTATTGGACCAGGGTTTGAACCCTGGTGCTGCGGAGTGGAAGCACGCACTGCTTACCACTACACCACAGCGGCCGACATGCTAATTTATGCGATTCCTTTTAATAGGTGCAACAAGTCTAGAGAAAATAATCTAATTGCCGTAAGTAACTTCGAAAGCATTTTAAATATATTTCCAGAAATCAAAAAGCGAATATGGGTCAATAATAATAATTGTACCTAAAATCTACTGACTGTACCTAATGTACCTTTAAGTCATCAAACGTCGGAAAAAGGTACAACTGTACCTACTTTTTCATCCCTGACGTGCGCTAAGCTTCCAGCGAGCGAGTATGCAAACGAGTGCAGCGCAAGAGTAGAGCGGCAAGCAAACGAGGGCCTCATTAGCTCTGCCCTGCGTCGTTGCGAGCGAAGCACTCATTTGCAGCAGCAGACGAGCGAGGCAAATGAGGCAAGCAGATTAGACAGGCAAACGGATTGTTTGATGAGATAAAAATTGCGTCAACTAAGAATTTCGAGTAAAGGATTGTATGTACACATGTAGATATGTATATACATTAGACTGGATCATACCCGAACAAAAAAAAATCGGTACTGTGTTTCCAATGGAATTATAAAATCTATTATATTTTAAGAGGCNAGAATTTCGAGTAAAGGATTGTATGTACACATGTAGATATGTATATACATTAGACTGGATCATACCCGAACAAAAAAAAATCGGTACTGTGTTTCCAATGGAATTATAAAATCTATTATATTTTAAGAGGCCCACCAAAATAATTCGGAAAAATATTAAGATTTACGTGAGCTGGACCGATTTGAAAATACCTCCAAAAATGGAGTTTTTTATAAATAAAAATAGTTTCTTAAAGATTTCTTTTTAAATTAAGCTTAAAAAATTTGCAAAAAAATATTAAAAAAAAATATATAAAAAATTTTGAACGGAATCGCAATTATCATATTTGTAAGAAAAACTTGAATAACTGAACCTAAACTCCTTCCGATTTAGGCTTGTGAGGTGTCATTGGAAAGCTTTTTCTCACCCTTTTTATTTCTTTGCTAATAAACTCATTCAAACGATGAAAGAGAAAGGTGGGATGAACGAACGTCATTCAAAAGTTGAATGAAGATGTGTTGGTACCTGAAAAAAATAAATAAATAAAAATTGGGACACGAATGACGTTTTTGGACAGAAATGAAAACAGTGGGAAAATACCTTTCTACTGAGATCCCATAAGTCTAAATCAGAATAGTTTTGGCTCAGTTATTTAAGATTTTCGTAACTCAATCTTTGAAAAAAGTAAAAAAAACAGCATCAAAAATCCCATTGCTACGATTCCGTTGAAATGATTTTTGAATATTTTTATGCAGAGTTTTTAAGCTTGATCTTAAGAAACTATTTTTATTCATAAAAAAAACTCCATTTTTGGAGGTATTTTCAAATCGGTCCAGTTGACCTAAATCTTAATATTTTTCCGAAATATTTTGGTGGACGTCTTAAAATATAATAAATTTTGTAACCCCGGTGGAAAAACCGCAGCTTTTTTGGTGATGCAGTCTAATATACATACATATTAGGGTGCCAATCGAAAATGCTTTTTTGAAATTTCAAGACCCTATCCCCCAATTTTATTCGTTTTTATGAGAAATATTACTTATGGAGGCTAAGCACAATGTGTATACCAAATTTGGTTGAGATCGGTCTAGTAGTTTTTGAGATACGCATATATCATATACAGTATCGGTCATATCTATAGCACGCCATTTCAAAGAGATATTGTGTGCCACATATGCTTATTTATTTATTTTTAAGAATTTTCAATACAGTTCTTTCTCTAATAAACCCCATATAAACCCAAGTTTAACAATTTGTAGAAAACTTCAAAAAATGGCAACAAATTTTCACCAAAGTTTCAAACTTTTTTCTCGGAAGTGTTAGAATTTTTTTGAGTACAGTTTTTCAGCCACTGCAATTTTAGTCTGATAATGTTCAAATTTCAAGTGGCTACGAATTACCGTTAATTTTTTAGAATTTTTTTTTGTCGCATTGGCTTTCATATAATGAATAAACTCAATTTATTTGTATATGGAAGAAAACCGCAACACCTTTGGCGGAAAAAATTCTAAAAAATCAACGGTAACTTTTAGCCACTTGAAACTGGCACATTATGAGACTAAAATTGATTGGGCTATAAAACTGTGTATTCAGAAAAATTCAAACACTTCCGAGAAAAAAGTTTGAAATTTAGGTGAAAATTTGTTGCACATTTTTGTAGTTTTCTACAAATTTTTAAACTTGGGTTTATATGGGTTTTGTTAGAGAAAGAACTGTATTTTAATTGAAAATTCTTAAAAATAAATAAAAAACATAAGTGGCACACAATATCACTTTGAAATGGCGTGCTATAGATATGGCCGATACTGTACGTGGGCGGTGCCACCCCCATTTTCCTAAAATTTCTTGAAAAAACACTTTTTAGCTAAAGAGCGATTGTATAAATAAATTTTTGATAAATATTAATGAATTGCTTACCCACACTGCTCAAAAAATCTAAAATTCCGGTACATACACACATATAAATTCAAGGCCGTATTTAAGAAAAGTCGTCTAAATTCGACAATTTTTATACGATTGCAGTAAATGAGATATCAGTTCATTTAAAAATAGATTTAATTTTAGATAGTACTCCATATATGTATATATGTAGAAATTATGGATGTTCAATTTTAAAAAATTAAGAGAAATATGGGTATTTTTTTAATTTATCCGTTAAAAAATCTCAACAAGCCTAGTCCGACAACAGATTATTATATACCATTTTAAAGGCCTATATATCCTCTTCTCAGATCATATTGGATCTTTGAAATCGAACCGAAAATAGTCATTCAAAAACTCAAATCTACAAAATCCAATTTCTGACCTAAATCGACAGGTCGCGACCTATAAATGACCTTTAAAAAATTTATAAAAAAGCTTATAAAATTAGGGGGTAGTCTTGAAATTTGAAAAAAAGCATTTTCGATTGGCACCCTAATACATATATACACATATATTTGCATTTATTTATATATATATTCTCATGCACAGAAGAATATATGCGTGCTATTTGACCAGTTCTATCTAGGTACATACATCCGCACGTTAAAAGTATGCCTCTATAATGAAGCTTGGCAGAGAATGCTTTGGCCACTAAATTAACATATTAACGAAAAATAAAATAATATTTCATATCAATAACAGTGTTGCCGCTTTGTAATTTTTAACCAAAATCGGTAATTTTTTTGTTTAGTTGGTAATTTGGTAATTTATTTTTCAATTTGGTAACTTTTTCGANTATATATTCTCATGCACAGAAGAATATATGCGTGCTATTTGACCAGTTCTATCTAGGTACATACATCCGCACGTTAAAAGTATGCCTCTATAATGAAGCTTGGCAGAGAATGCTTTGGCCACTAAATTAACATATAAAATAATATTTCATATCAATAACAGTGTTGCCGCTTTGTAATTTTTAACCAAAATCGGTAATTTTTTTGTTTAGTTGGTAATTTGGTAATTTATTTTTCAATTTGGTAACTTTTTCGATTCGGTCCTACATGTAACATAGGCGAATACAGGATCTGATTCCACATTAGGAAGTGGCTCGTAAGCGATTACTTTTATAGAAATATCAGGAAATCCTGAAAGATTCGGAAGGCGAAAAGTTGTTCCAGCGTTCCATGGTTCTGAATGGTGTGATCTCTAACAAACTGTATGAAAGTGGCTATTGCTACGTCTACCGTGAATTTGGCAACTTCTTCTGTTGATTTTGGTAATAAATAAAAAAAATTGTGCCAACAAAATGATATTTCTTGCCCTCACTTCATTAAAAGGTAAAAACATTTCAAATAATTTTACAAAATTTACAAATTTTGCTATGTGGACGTTGAAATTCAACGCCAACGCAACGCCAAAGTTGTATGTGAACCGGCCTATATTCTTTGCTTACGCAAATTTTCCATGTCTACACATACATTTTACATTACATTTTCCATGTCTACATACACATATACATACATATGTATATATGTACTTGAACAACAGGCCACAAATAAATTTTTCACCAAAAATTATATTTCATTAAGGTATACAGCATAACTGCTACACGCACCAATTTATGTTAAAAAGTGCTTAGTTTTTTTTTGTTTCTGCGGCACAAAGGATTACATACGTACATATTTAAATACATATGTATGTTATGTAAGTAAATAAATTTTATTTGTTGATTTAAATGCTGCCGTAATATAATATTCAAATATTTATATGCATATGTACATACTAGGAATGTTTCGAATGTCATAGTTTTCACATTCGCGAATGCGAATGCGAATGTGAATTTTCGTAATGCGAATATTAGGAATAACATTAAAAAATCTATAATGAACTTAAGTCATCGTTTTTTATTATTTAAAAATTTTGTAAATTATTAGAACATTGATCGAGTGCTTTAATCTAGTAGTCAAAGTTCAAAAGGGGCATATTATATTCCAAAAAAGTAATTTTGCTGCCTTTTCTCCCATGAGGCGATTTCTTAGAGTCGGCAACCACTACTCGACGATATGCTTGACAGTGTTCTGGTGCGGTTAATGAATACATTCCCGAAGAACAGTATTTAAGCTGGCAGAAGAGGTGAGACTCCCTCCCAAGATAGAGACCTTAGGTTATTTAAAAAATGTGGAGTGTGGGTCCGAGCTGGAGATGCACGTCTTCGTGGATGCCAGTAAAAATGCTTATTCGGCTGGGGGTTATATTCGCCACAGTAACAAGGGAATCGTCGACAGCGCGCTCGTGGGTAGTAAAGCAAAGGTGGCGCCATTGAAAATGTTATCAATCCCGCGACCTGAGTAGCAGGCTGCGATTTTAGGCGTTCGATTAGTTGCAGGTGTACTTAATTCACATTGCACATCCATCGTCAGACATTTTGGACCGAATCTCGTACCATTTTAGCTTGGATTCGTTCTGATCATCCTCGTTACTCTCAGTTCATTGCGTTCCGAGTGAGCGAATTGTTAGAGCTTACGGAGGTGAAGATTGGCGATGTCTGCCTTCGCTGGGCAATGTTGCGGACGACGCCACCAAATGGTACACATCGCCGGAGATATCTACCGATAGTCGATGGTTCAGAGGACCGCGCTTATTGCGACGGGGGCGAATACACTGGCCAAACGACATTGACAAAACTAAAACCACCTACGAAGAGCTTAGATCTCGATATGTAGGTTACCACGGCGCTGCCCTACCACATAACCTATCAATACACGAACGTTTCTCTCGATGGCCCCGCCTTCTGCGTGTAACGGCAAAAGTATTCGTATCTGGAGGCTCTACCGCAGATCAAGTCCTTCGCTTCGTCGACTAATTGATCAAGATGAGCTTAAGCGCCCCGAAATGCATTTGTGGAGAGGCTCAGTCGGACGTATTTGGGGATGAAATCGCTATACTTTGAAAGGGAAAACCAGTAAGCCGAACGAGCTCTATATATAAGCTTTCACAGTACCTGGATGGGGTATCCGTCCTACGACTCAGTGGCAGGGTCAGCCTGGTAGGGCATCTGGATCCAGATATATTGCCTAGAAACCATAACATAACTCGCCTGATTATTCTGGAGTATTCAAGTATCTCCACGGCAGCGCAGAGACAGTAGTAAATGAATTACGGCAAAACTTCTACATACCTCGACTACGAAGTATGTGAACTTCGCAATGCAAAACCCGACCTCCAAAAATGAGCTGCCTACCCCCGGCACGAATAACAGCATTCGTTCGTCCGTTCACATACGTGGGGGTAGGTTACTTCGGTCCCCTACTAGTGGTGGTACGTAGGAGTACTAGAAGAGGTATGGAGTGCTCTTCACATGCCTCACGACGAGAGCCGTCCACCTAGAAATAGCTTATTTGCTATTCGTGCATTCTCACCGTTCGAAGTTTTATGGCCCGACGAGGAGTACCGTGCGAGTTCTGGAGCGACAACACAACTAATTTTAAAGCAACGTAGCGAGAACTCACTGCTGCCTTCAAATAAATAGACAAGGAAAAGCTGCAGAGTACCTTTACGAATTCGTCTATGCAGTGGAAGTGTTCATCCCACCTGCCTCACCGCATATGGGCGGTGCCTGGGAGCGCCTCGTGCGCTCAGTGGAGGACATCCTATCGAAGGTATTGCTAGCATCACGTCCTTCCCACGAATTGCTCCGCGGCGCTTTAATGGAGGTTGAATCCACTGCGGAGACGAAGCACTCACTCCAAATCCATTTTCTCCTGGGTAGTTAAATTTAGGAAGCGCTGGTTGCGCGAATATCTGCCGGTGATAACGCGCCGCAATAAGGGGATCGAGGCCGTAAAACCGATAGAGTCCGCAGACATCGTGTATATAGTGGAACCCAATGGACCCAGAAACTCTTGGCCGAAGGGTCGAGTCATTTCAATAAGGGGGGCTTTGATAAACAAGTAAGAAGCGCCGTGGTAAAGACTAGCACTGGCATATATGAGAGACCAGCCACGCGACTTGCCGTTATTTCAATGGTTGCTCCGCAGGAACGGGTAAATCCGGAGTATATGCCGGGGGAAGTGTTGACAAAAATACGGCAACACCGCAGTTGTTTGATTGAAAATTGTTTGAGGACGTTTCCCGTTTTTTACATTGGGTTTGATTTTCACCGCCAAATGAGATAGACTTTTTCCACTTGCTTAAAAATTATTTGAATCGAAATTTTGTAAAGTAAATCAGGATAGATCCTTCTAAATACTAAAGTAAGTACATAGTGAATATATGTAATTCAAGTTAAACTCAAGGAATAAAATGAATCCGCAGGTATTTCAAACGTTACACAACAATGCATGCGTTTTGAGACTATGGGCGTGGGATATGAATTCAACACCACCTATTCATGAAAATCCAATTCGTCTGATGGAACAACCTCATGTCCATAAGTTTATTAGAAATTATTAAAAAATTAAAAAAAAAACCTGGTTCTTCAATAGCATGCCATTGTTTTCCCACCAATACGAAAATCTCAATCTATGAATTTACTTTAAAAACAATGTTATTTCATGAGCAAATCTACATTAAAAAATCAATATCCCAGATTCATTATTAGCCAGTCTTTCGACTCTTAAAACTTTCCGCTTTCTGGAATGAAAACCCATGTTCTCCGCTAGTGTTTTTTTTTACTAATATTTTTTTTTTTAATTTTTCATCCCTTTCCACTTAATCTGCCGACATGAGGTAAAAGCCATCAGACGAATTGGATTTTCATTAATACGTGGCTTTTAATACGTGTACGGAGTTGATCCGGAATAACGCTGCCGTCTGTTTATGCTTTAAGGTGGTCAAGATTGTCCTAAAGCTAACTTAGCTAGTTATTAACAGTTGTACTTTTTAGATGATTTGCATAGTGAACATCAGCAATTTAGAGATTTAAAATTATACCAAAGTATTCCTTGTTTAATTCTCTATTAAAAGCATTTAAAAAAAATGGGGCGATTTTCAAGAACTATTTTTAAATTAATTTTTTTTATGACGAGATGCTTTTTTTTGTGAGTCAGAAATTTTTTGTAATTTGTTTTCGAAAACTTATGATCAGCTATATTTAGCAAAGGAGTAAACCAAAGTAAAAAATTTAGACTTTAATGTAGATTTCGCCAGAATAACTATATGGATTTAAAAAATTGTGGAACAAATATTGTTAGCGAAGCGATATTCTTCTAGTCACGAGTAGTTCCTCCGATAGTCTTTTCTCAAATCTCTAATAATACTTAAATAAGGCTTCCTTGCCTTATTTGACTTAAAACTATCCACATTAAAACATGTAAAAACTGCATGCACAGTCGATTCCACTTACTTGGCCAGTCATACTTGAAACTCTTCCACCATATTGTAGTTTAGGGGGTGGTAGCACACGCCCTCGTACTTCCATCATAGAGTTGGAAATGGTCAAACCGAATTCTTGAACGTATGAGTCGTTGTTGAAATCAGCGCGTTTAACCAAATTATTGATTTCACGCTCACGATCAGGCGCCGAACGAGCCGTTGCTTTGATCATCGTCGATGTCTGCATATCCGTCAATTTTTTTATACAACGTTGACCGGCGACGATATTACATACTTCCAAAGGCAAGTAAGTGTGCTTATGCTCTTGTCCTACTTGAAGACATGGCAAATGGGGGTAACGCAACTTCATTCGGTATTTATCCAAGAAATACTTGGCCACAGTACACTCAACCGTTTGACCATTTTCGAGTTGAAGCGGAAATCTACAGTAGTATTTTACAAAAATTAATTTAAGAGGTGGGTAATGTATCTATGTTCAGTACCTCGCCAAACCATTAAGAACAAAGACAAGTTTTTATATACATAGTTAGTTCTACATTTAATACAAAATAATCTAAAAAAATATTTATGTAAGAACACTTTTTGAGGAATGCTTATTCGGAAGCATCTGTGTTGGGGTTTTGATATGAATACTAATATGTCTTGTCAGTCCTCAATAGATTAATTACAGTTCCAAGGGCATATGTTCATAATGAATTTGTTGAGGAAGGAAAGAGAACGCTGGGATGCTGTGGGAAGGTAATGAATTTATGTCAATAAACTCGAGTTTTTTTGCCAGAGTTCATTCAACTCTGCTGAGCCACACGGACATGGTTGTTTATTTACACGGGACTAAAGTTTCAAGAAAACGTCATACATACAATTCTTTCTTGGAAACTGTTTAACGAAACTTAATCTGTCTTATTCTGAGTTTCGCCTAAAAAAAAAAAATCACCCGAAAATTTGTCATCCGCCCATAGTAAAAAATAATGGTAAAATGACAAATGAATCTTAAGTCCTAAATTAATGGTAAAGTGTCAAATAAATCTTAAGTTTTAAACTAATGGTAAAGTGTCGCCTATTGGTTCTCAGGTATCAGTGTCTGACTCGTGGATTTGCTCAAGCCACATACGCTGGCGGTTTGCTTCTACCACCCCATCATACGGCATCTGCGTAATCTGACAGTTTTCTATATCGCGCAAAACATAACGGTCATTGGGTAATTTCTTATGTATCAAGTAAGGACCACGAAACTTTGGAATAAGTTTTTTGTTAGTGCCAATGGTGGTGTCAACATTTTTCATAACTACAAAGTCTCCCTCCCTATAATCTTCCGCGGGTAAGCTATGTTTAGAGGAAATATTTTTAGTTCAGCAGCAGTAACATCGGTGGCAGCAGTGGCATCAGTAGCAGCAGAGGTAACGGTGGCAGCAGTGGTAGTAGTAGCAGATGTATGGGCACCAAGATTAGAATTTTTAAGTTTACCCACAGTTGTATTACTAGCAACTCCCATCACATTATCGCAGAGTGATCGAAGTTGTGCAATTGTTGCTGTTTTGGGAAATTCAATTCCCGCTTCTGTTAATACCTGCATGAGGTTTTCCCTCATGTTGGGTTTATCCGTCATTTCCGCAAAAGAAATTCCAAAATTTATTTATTTTCCGATTCGCTGTACAGTTTTTTGGGTAACCGCCACTTCTGATGGGCTGTAACGTCACGGATGGCTTTACAATTCGAAGATTCAATATTCTGGCCACTCCCAGGTGAATGGCAGTCAAAAGCTTTCCACTTCTGCGAACGGAACCATGCTCCATTCCGCTATCTTTGATTTAAGTTTTTTTGATTTATTTATTGCGATTTGCAAGCTTATTTTGCATTTTTTGTAAAAATTGTTAGATACAAATATGTAGGGAATTTAATTTCCCACATTTGTTTTACAGAAGGTTTTTTTTTAAATATAATTTTTTATTGTAAAAATTAGCAAAAACTGCGAAAAAATTTACATTGCCACGGTTTTCGCCATTTTTGGACAATTTCTGTTGAAAATACATATCATACTGAAATTCCAAGGTTGTAGAGAATTTCATTTTCCACAACTTTTGTACGTACATTTTTTTTTGTACTATGCTTAGATCACGGCCGGGAACGCGATAAACATAGCGATGCATGGGATGCGCCATAAAACTCATTTCCAAGATGGTGGAATGTTACCAAATGAAATTTAGGGGCGACTGTGGATCCATGATCCACGTGTCAAATAGAAGTAAACTGCATAAAAAATCGCTGTTACAAATTTTTTTTTAATTTTCCTGCCAAACTTATCTAATCGCTATGGTTGGCACTTCCCCGGCCGTTATCTAAGCGTCGTAAAAAAAAGTAGGTATAAAAGTTGTGAAGAATGAAATTCTCTACAACTTTGGAATTTCGATACGCTATGTATTTTCAACAGAAGTTGTCAAAAAATGGCGAAACCGTGACAATGTAAATTTCTTTCGCAGTTTTTGCTAATTTTTTACAACAAAAATTGCTATTTTTAAAAAACCTTCTCTATAACTTTACAGTGACTTTATTTTGACTATGACTACGTGCTAATACTTTTATCCTATTTTAAGCTAATTTTAAAAGTTAAATCAAATCAAGTTACGGAACTTCATATTCTTCTTAAACGGCATCTTTATACCTATAAATTATTTTTTAATTTTTAGTTCTTATATTAATAAAAGCGTGTTTTTGTTTTTTTTTAACTATACTTTTTTTATTTAACAGTTTTATTTTTTTACACACCTTTCCTTTTTCTTATTTTAATACAGAAAATTTCAAGCAAAAAAACAAAAGCGACTTCAATTCTCATATAAAAATTTACGAGTACCGGATCGGATCTAAACCAGATTAGTAAGGGACCACCTGTCAGACACTACCTTTCCGATGCAAAAATTATCGCAATGGGTAGACGTGGTCCAAAGTTATGCGGTAACTTACATAAAAAAAAATATTCCGACGAATTAATAACCTCCTCTTCTTTTGAAGAAGTCGGTTAAAAAGCACTAACCTTGAAGCTAGCATTATTGAACGAATATTCTTTTGCAATAAGTGTTGTTGACGCTTCCGGTATAAAGACATGAAATATGTGCATTCTCGGAATATATTACTAGAGCTCACACTTTAAGGCAAAACTGTGTGCGTTTGAGCGAAAGTGCGAAAATGTGAAATATTCTACAGTTTTTTACAGCAAACATATGGCAACGGTTCACACTTTTATAAGTAGCATTTTCTTTTCGACAAAAAATGTTGCCTTTTCATTACCCTCTTCTTAGTTTTTGTGCGTAGAGGGCACTGAGAAGCCAATATTTTTCGGTAGCAATGAAAACGCCATTAGTTTCGCACAAACGCATAGATGAAACACTGACTGAAAAGTAAAGAGCCAGAAAACTGTGCTGTGCTGTGCTGTTCGCTCACCACTTCAGCAGTTAAAGCGACAGCACAAACGAAGCGCAATGAATATTTGAAACCGCGCTGTGGCTGAACTGTTTGAAATTTCGCATCCAAAGCAACAAAACAGTTCACGTTTTTGTGCAAAAAACTAGCGCTACTTTTTGCCTTTCGCATCAAAGAGTGAATTCTAGTATTGTGGCTTTGCGAATCTATCTTGAAGCTTTTGCTTGACTTTATTGTAGTCACTCTTGGACGCAAACAGCACCTTCTTTTTCTCTAAATTATTCTTAACCCATTGGTTGATGGCCTCGGCGGTTGTAATGTCGGGAGTTGAACATCTGCTCTAGCTGCTAATCGCTTAAAATTTCCTCCAATCCCATTGCAAGCAGATTTTTCATGTGAACTTGCAACAAAGTTCAATTCTGCCATTTTCTTGAAGGCTTTTTCGTGATTTCAGACCTTTAGCAAAATTAATATGATTTATTCATATTGTTTTTGTATTTTTACCAGGGTTGAAAACCACTCCAAAAATCGGGGCGGTTCGGTTCAATTTTGTATGCCATAGGATACAAATATTGTAAAAATATGGCAAATCTGTAACATAAAAATAAAAGGCTATGTTACTAAGATCAAACCCAAATATCCATATATATAGTGGTGGAGGGGCACGACATTTTAGCAAGTTTTCGCTACTTTTCTTTTGTTTATTTAATGTTCATTTGTTTTTAACCATATGAATCCAAGTTTCAAACTTTGTGCAAAAGTTATGGAAATTCTGCAGTTTCATCTAAAATGCAAACCTTTTAATAAAAATGTCTAGGAAAAATTTTTCAAGTTTTAAGTTGATCAATGGCAATTTTTCACGGATTTTCAACCATACAAAGTATGAGGGAATTTTTTTTATGGTAGAAAATGCGTAATATAAAAAGAAATATTTAAAATTAACGCGATCAAGGCGAAATTAGAAAAATGTTCATAAACGTTTTTAAGGTTTGGACAAGTCGTGCGAGTAGACAAAAACAGCATACTCAGAATTTCGAATTGACACTCAAAATCTTGGCTTAATGTTGAACCCTCATTTCCGGTAGGTTGGAGCTTACACTAGGCCTTAACTTCATGTGTAGAAGTATACCTATGGTCAAAATAATAGGAGTGCGACATTTAATTATTTTTCTTTTGTTGGTTTAATGTTAATAAATAACCATGTGTATTACAAAACGTGAAAAAATGCTATACCCCTATTTTCATTTGAACCGCACCGAAACATTTTTTTTAGTGATTTTCGGTTCGGTTTTGGAATTTCAAAATAAAAACGGTTCGGTTCGGAGTCCGAAAAAAGTGACAGTTCGATTCAAAACCCAGTACGGTTCAAAACTGGTTTTCAGCATTGATTTTTACACACCTTTCCTTTTTCAAAAATATGCAGTTTCATAAAATTTCAATGTCTATTTATCATATTGCTCGAGTGTTAGACGATCTGGAGTCCGTACGCCTTCGGACCCCATTTTGGCCATTTGGGTACTTAAAGTTAACATTAGAGACAATGTTTTTATGTACAAAAAAAGTTTATAAATGTCAAACTAAAAAAAAAAATAAAAAAAAAAATGTCGAATTATACATGTTAAGTGCTATGCGTAGGGTAACCGCTTACACGCAAAGCCCGTTTAACAGATTCTTATGTGACAACTCTCATGAAAAGCTATGTAAGTATACATAACTGGGCTATCAGACTGTATTTCTTATATGAAAAAGGTCGGAGGGGCCGTGAAGCTGTAGGTCCCTCCAAATTGGAGGAGAAGATCGGCCAAACACTTAGCAAAAGTGTAAAACAGGGATCACACGATTTGCACATTTGTACATTTTGGCAGTCGCAGAGTGGTGTTGTTTTGAAATAATGAGTTCAGCTCAATAACAACTTTGCAAACAACACCACTCTGTAACTGTGAAAATGTTCAAATCGTGTGATCTCTGCTAAAGCGCCAAAATATTTTTATACATATACATATATTCTCTGCATAAATCACTACCGCTTATCAGAATTGCAGCGACACCCTCATTGGTCCAGTTGAAAGTGAATTTCTTCGTCCATTTGATATTTTTTGGATATCTATGCAGTAATTCTGCGCAAAGCTACAAATATTATAAGTGAATATGCTAGCACTATTTTAATAAACATCGACGATTTTCTTAACTCTTACAAAATATTCGCTACTCTTGGTAGAAAATATTTATTTTTTAACGATTACTAACAGTTTTGTCGCAAAACTTTATATATATATGCTTGGTTTCTAATGGATTGGCGGGGACTGCACATTTATATGTGTGTAACTTAATATGCAAACAATGTTTATAAACAACTTACGATTGCATTTGTGCTGGTCTACGTGTAACATTGCATACACGGTATTTGCGACGCATGGCTCCACAATGGGTGATTTCAATCTTCAAACCTTTGATTTCCTTAGTAAATTTGACACGTTGTGAATCGGTGAGCGGCTTTCTTTGCTCGTTGATATCTCGTATATCGAGCACTTCACACATAAAATCAATAACTGGCTGTGCTTTGTAAAAAGCCGTGGCCGAAACTGAATGTGGCAAAAAATTTGGGAGAAAAGTGAAGCTTTGGGTTAAAATAAATAAAACGAAATACACACCATCAATGTTTAGCATCATTTTCCATTGCGAAGGACGCACACTCTGGTGGAAACCAAACCATACCTCACGACCTCCACCCAAGGGATGGTAATAACCATCGGGAGAGCTGAAGAAACTGCGACCAACGGGTGTGTACGTCATGCTAGGTAAGTGTCGCATAACTACATCTAATGCAAGTATTGCATCGTACGGTATCTGGCGTGTACGTCCCTCTAATGCCTCCTCTAAATTGAAAAGTGATACTTGAGCCATCCATTTAATCGTTACACGGAATATGCGATCCTTTCCTTCCCCTGGAAGCGTCACCTCCAATTCCAGACGATCGTTGCCTATGGGAAGCGGGTCACGTGTATACAGATTATTGCGGCCGTCAAATACTGGCTTCAAAACACCGAATATCTTGCTGTATGCATGCACCATGGTCTCGATGATTTCCCGATTTACTTTTCGCGGACACTTGTCCGGCTGAATGTTAATATCGTAATGATGCACATAGCCGCGTGGCATAGACACCTGAAAATGGTTGGCGCGCAAAACAATCGGTCTACCTTCCCGTCCCAAATTCGGCCGACGCGGGCACGTAAATACTGGCAGTTCAGGTTGCGTGGTGGGCGAAGTGGCCGCTGCCGCTCCCAAAGGCGAGGCGACTGCGGCCGCTTGTGTAGCGTGACCTGCCGCGCCAGCGCCACCCACAGTTGCGCCTCCAACGGGCACATTTTGAGCGCTCGGACTGGTCACGGCGGTGGGATTCACTGATGAACCGGTAGCTGGTGGTGCTGCAAAGAGAGCAACAAATATGTGCTTAAAAAGAGTAAATTATTTGCAAAAGAATATGTATGAGTATTAGCCATGGTGAAATAATAATGTGTTGTCACTTAGGGTGGTTGTTGTAATTTTTGCAATTTCGGCATACCAGCGTTACAGTAATGCCTACTCTATTCATTCCAATTTCATTTCTAGGCAAAATGGAACAAAAAATGGAGCAGACAATTTTGGGAAAAAGTATGCGTCGGTATCACTTACTACGTTTATACGCACGTATTATTTGCAAATAACAATTTGCAAAATGGCAAACTTTGCGGTATAAACGCTGAGTTAATTTTTTATTTGCAAATGACTAAATCACGCAAATAAGTATTGATTAGTGGTACTATTTGCAAATAAGCGCAAGACGCCGCCATTCTTATGGTGCATTTACATGGTATGAAGCCATGATTCAATAATACAAGGTTATGTAATTTGTGACAGCTAAAATTTGACACTCCTTTATCTAGATTTGTATTTTGGAAGTAGGAGAAAGGGAAAGAATGTTATCGCCTTTTGCGAAAACGGTAGTAGAAAGGTACTACAAAAAGTACGCAAAGTATACAATTAGAAGTAAAATATGTAGTATTAATTCTATGCGAATTTAAAATATATTTGGTGTTTTAATGGAAATACTAAACAACACATAAAAACATGCATTTTTGATTTCAGTTATTCGTCATTTCCTGGAAGAAATCTAGAATACCGACCCTTCAGCTATGCAAAAACGAAAAATGCAGATCAATAGAACTTTTTATGCTCATGTCAACCATGCCAAAATTATTTGGCGCAAGTGAAAAATTAAGACGTTCTCTAGAAGCTTAAAGTTCAGTCTTTAGATTTTTTTAATATTAATATCTTATGAACTATGTAACCGATTAAAAATCTAATGACGTCACCATGAAGATAATTAATTTTTCTTTCAGCTGATGTACATAATTTATAGCTTTTTTTATTTTTAATACAAAACAACTAAAAAACGAAAAAAATGTTATTTTTTCATGAAATAACCTTTTTTGAAAAATCTGCATAATTAATGGTAAAGAAATTTATATTATTTAGAAAGTACAAGTTATTACTATTAATTCGATATTACATATTTTGTCATGATCTGCAAAAAAACAAAGCAAATAAACCTCTTATATCTTCTTTATTTTTTACCTGCGCCAAATAAATTTGGTATCGTTGAAATCAGCATAAAAAGTTCTATCAATCGGCATTTTTGGTTATTTTATAGCTAAACGGTCGCCATTCTACACTTGTTCTAGAAAATTGCGCAAACGAAGGTGATGCCAACGAATATTTAGTATGAAGAATTTTTGGTTTTACTACTAATATCACTACAAACTGTAGAGTAAGCAACATTCTGCACAAGTAAAGGAGGCGATTTTATGTGTGGAAGCGAGAAGACTGTTTTATTACAAAACCTTTCTATTATTGAATCATGGTATGAAGCCATATGAACTGTTGATACGCTAAAATAGAGGGACTACATGTTCCAATGAGGAATTCAAAAATATCTAGTAGGATGCATATAATACATTTTTTCATATGAAAAATTATGGGGAGATACTGTAAACATACTGTTGTGAAACTGTTAAGCATATGAAATTATAGCAAGTTGGATTTTCATACATCTTCCCATAAAAAGTTTAACAGATGCAGAGATACCAAGGAAGTTTTTTACAATTTTGATGCCTTTTTAATATAAAAACCCACCGAAAAGGAGAAAAGCGGCAACTCCCCCATTCACATACACGTCAAAAGTATGACTTTTAAAAATTAAAAACAATAAACAAACAAATTCAAAACAAAGAAATTCTTTGTACTAGAACTTTTTTAATAGAAGCCACTCACGTTTAGTGGACAATAAAAATACAAAGAACTATGATAACCAACTTAAAACAAGACATTACAGAACATTTAATGAGCTTTATATCACATTAAAGTAAAAATAAGCCTATATTTTCCATGCTGGCAAAGAATGAAAATGTGTATTTTTTGTTATTTATACAAAGACTTGCCAAATATACATATAAGTCAAAATTATAGAAGGCATGTATACTTCTCCCTTTCATTTTTTCATATAGTTTTTGCTTCTTTCTGGCTTTTACAAAATGCAGGGATTCCGCTTTTATTTCGGTACAATATGATCGTAATGTATTTTCAATTCAAAATCAAAGAATGTTTCCTTCAAACCGCATTACTATTTTTCTAACGTTTCCCTTTGTTTAGCGCTGTAACCGCTTAAGTTATATCTTTTAATTTATACAAGAGAACTATTTTCAATGAGCATTTTTTCATTTGCTCCTGAATTTCGGGTACATTTTCTTATAGTACCGCTCATTCTTTTTTATATTACATATATACACTCCAAAGTTCGGGATAGTATTTTGAATATACCAGCAATATATGTAAAAGTAGTGACGGCTGCTGTAGAGCATTACGCAGAGCCTGTCTTCAGGCCCAGTATTTTCTAATAGTGGTTGCCCCTCTGTTGGTAATAGTAAACCTCCGAGTGTATTCTGTCATGGAAACAGCTTCTCATTAAAATGCAATCGCCGTTCGGAGTCGGCGTAAAACTGTCCTTTACTTTGTGTGATAAAATCACGCACGCCGCAAATCGGAGGAGAAGCTAGGCCAAACACTAACATTGTTTAAGCGCCAATATGTATATCGTCCTTTAAAGTACAAAAACGCGTATATGCAGAACCAAAATCTCGAAACTGAAATTTGTGCCAAAAAAGATATTTGGTCACCGGAAGCTCCTGACATCAAGCCCTTGGCCATTTATAATAAAATATCGATACTTAGACATAAGGAGAAGAGATAATTAAGTTTAAAAGAGAGAACCGTTTTTAATTAGGACTCTCTCCTATAAAATTTAGGCAACCACACATACGAGGTTTTGCATTTCCTTGATGCGCGGTTTTGTACTTTAAACGACGGTATGCTGAGAAACGGAAGAAAACGGCATCCCTATGATTTCAACTTATGCCAAGCGTTTCGTAAACAAGCAATTCTGAACAAAAAACTGTTTTTCCATAAAGATGTTTAAATGGAAGCATTACAAATATGGAAAAATAGCTATCCACAAGGCTTTATTGGCAGTAGGTCCTTTTTAAAGCACATTTAACAAAAAAATAAGCTTATAGTTTCGAAGCTAGCACAAAATAAAATTTTTTTATTTGTTGTTTACAAAAAAAAATGTTGCCAAGTATATAAGTCAAAATTGTTAAATATATATCGCTTTAATTCATTTCTTCGTAGAGTTGTGCTTCTTTTATAGGAAAATTCATACGGCTTATGAACAGCTTCATACCATGTAAATGCACCATTAGGTTTATTTTCTTCTTCGAGGGTCATCTTTTGCCTTTTTGTTTCAAATTCACTGGAAAATTTGAGCGATAATTTCCAATAATTGTGATTCTGTAACTGAATTTTTTGGTAAAATATATACTGTATATATCCAACTGATTATTGGAGCAGTGCCTTGGATGGCTACGCACTTTGGTCTAAAAATTTAAACGCATAATTATTTGATAGTATAACGGGTATAATTCAGAAATGTAATTTTAAAATGTCGGCCGCTGTGGTGTGGTGGTAAGCAGTGCGCGCTTTCACTCATCAGCAAACCCTGGTCAAAGCAACATCCCAAAAAATATAGAAAAAGGTTTTTTCTTAACAGCGGTCGTCCCTCGGCAGGTAATGGCAAACCTCCGAGTGAATTTCTGCCATGAAAAACAGCTTCTCATTAGAATACAATCGCCGTTCGGAGTCGGCGTAAAACTGTAGGTCCCTCCGCTTTGTGTGACAACATCAAGGTACACGCCACAAGTCGGAGGAGAAGCTCGGCCAAACACTAACATATGTATGTGTAAGCGCCAATCTATTATTATTATTATTAATTTTAAAATGTTAACGAAAATAAAGGTCGTAATAAAATTTCCTTTAAGGTTAAGATATTTAAAAACTAAGTACGCATATGGGCAAATCTAAAAAACAGGTAACCTTTGTGTTATTTAGCTTTATTTTCACTGTTGTAAACTAAATCCAGCTGGTTGCTTTTGGATATAATTCATTGACGTATACTTGAAGCCTCAAAAAAAA